TGTGGGAGGCAAAGATAGTCAAACAGTATTTGCAGGCTCGTGGGACAAGGACATCTGGTCATGGGATATTGAGACTGGACAGCCTGGCCGTAAGTTCAGCGGCCACTCGGACTTCATAAAGACTGTTATTTGTGCTACCATCTCCGGTAAACACATTCTCATCAGCGGAGGCGCCGACAAGAAGATGTTTGTTTGGGACATCGAGTCAGGTAAACGACTGCATACCTTGCAAGATCCCACCACGACGATGCTTGCCGTTCAACACATCGCTATCGACCCTGTTCTCAGCGATTCAACCAGTGTTGTCTTTGCCAGTGCTAGCAGCGATCCCCACATCAGAAGGTGGAAGATTACCCTGGACAGTTACGAGCAGCTTCCCGAGTCATTCTCCGACCGCCCCGATGCTGAGCGACTCACTATTCAGGAGCACGAAACCAGCATCTACCGGCTTTTCTACGATCAATCAAGTGAAGACGTGGATCTTTGGACTGCGAGTGCCGATGGAACTGCGAAATGCTTGGCGCGTTCCAGAAACTTTGTCGCTGATGATTCGTTCGAGCATGGCGACTATGTACGAGGCGTTCTTGCAACAGACCAGTGGGCTATCACGGCTGGTCGCAACGAGGATGTTAAGGTTTGGGATCGCTCATCTGGCAAGCTGTACTGTACATTGATTGGTCACTATGAAGAGGTGACCGATATCGTCATGCTACAAGACTCTGCTGGTACTCCCCGCAAGGTATGCAGTGTGGGCATTGATGGAACTGTTCGAACATGGCCACTTGGCAAGTCTGAGCTTGATGAAGTAGTGGTCAAGATCCAGAAAGCTGCCGAGCCCAAAGAGAAGGAAGAAGAGAAGAGCGGAAACCTCTTGACGGCTGAGGAAGAGGCTGAGCTGGCAGAACTCATGGACGACTAGGACCCAACATCATAGAACTGATCGAAATATCTCGACCATTTCAGAACAACATGAAGCCACCCACCTGTCCCACAATTTGCTAGTTGCCCCTAGCAATTGATGCACTTGCTATGTTGTACCGGTGTTTCACGGAAGTTCAGCTCGAGTTTGCTTACGACACATGGAGCGGATAGATGCGTCTCCGCCCGTGTGACTAAACCAAGTCGCCCCTTTGAGACAGGTCACCTAGAATATAGGCTATGTTTCAGTCCTCAGAAAGAAAGGTGCTTAAACACGAATATGGCCGAGCCACATGGGTTACTGATTTGACACCATACTTCCCCTATCCTACGTAGAAAGAGCGACGTCAGCCAATCTTCCATCTACTTGCATCCATCACGCCGACAGTACTCTGTACACCTCCCACATACCGACGTAAAGCACCTATCGACGCTACTCAAAAGAGTCTATCTGAATTGAGAAGAAACATCCATGCATTGTCTAGAGCAAATTGACTGGCGTTCTCTGAACAATGGCATACAATCCTACTGCAAGGGACGTCAGGAAATCGACGAGCCGGACATCGATCACTTGTCGCAAATGATAGGATCTGACATGTAGGGTAACGTACCCCGGTTACGACGTGAATTCGAAATGCTTGCTTCTGGCCCAGCTTGGCGTATCCAAGAAACAAACAATTATGTTTTGCTTTTTCGCGCTCCATCCTAGAGTCATGGAGATTGTACGGCAGTCGTTACCAGGATCTGAGCCGTACTCTGCCGGCGTAACGAGAAATATCGCTTCCCCTGAGAATGCTTGTTGTAGAGCTGATCCTCATAGAACCTTGCTTGGTAGCACTAATTCCCCTTGTTCTAAACAAATGATGGGACAACAGAAGAAATTACAAATGATCGACTGGCACTTCAAGTTGTGGTAGCGCGGATTCTCGAGTTGAGCTGAAATTTTGGGCTTGCGTAACCGTGAAGTCGTACAATTAATCAAACATGAAGGTTATGAATCACTCTCTGTCTTGAGCTTCGAGACTATTGTTCATGATACAGGCAACTTCTGACCTCGAGCTTTGATAAACGACACTCAATTTGTGACTGATCAATAAAGCTGACAATTGATGAATCGTTTTCGACCTGTAACACCCGAGCTGACCTGCATATCATGCGCTCGTTCTGTGAGATGTATTGCAAATCCAATGTGTCGGGTCTGAGCTGCAAGACTTCCCCCCTGTTCGCGCCAGTGACCGGTTGGGCCACTCTTGAAGATTGCAAGTCAATTAGACTAGACCTAGTGTATGAACGGATAACCGTCTCTCCGTCTCTCGAACAACCTGGACCCTGCGCGGTGACGATTACTTCCAAGTGGATCGGTTCTTGTCCGCAAATCCATCACAATTCTCATCAGTTGAGAATTATGGAATGAGAGAAAAAAGAGAAATATTCGTAAGCTGATCGTGCAGTGGTTCGAGGGAAGTGGGGGTACTCTCTTGGCTTCATTCAGTATCGTTTGCGAGCATATTGGACAACCACTTCTTTATCGCTTTGTATATCCGGCCGGATAGATCTATCGCGAATAAGTGAACCTGAAACAGTGGTTTTGCGGCGCGAGTCATATGGCACAACACCTGAGTCCTTTCTATGTGCGCCAGCGTACGACATGTTATGCTGCAGTAGTTCGCAGTCCCGCCGTATGCGACAATTCTTTCTTGTGAAATAGGATAGGGGCGCCATTGGAAACTGTACTTCCACTCGCAAGTTCCACACTGGTACCTAAGTCTTAAGAAGACGTATTGGGAGACAGTCATGGTCTGGTGTTGCTGATGAAGGCGTGGCGGCGTTCTATAACTTGCCATTAAACCATTATAAGGTTGTTTGCTTCTCTTCACAGAAGTCTTGCCAGCCGCACCACTCGTTGACTCGCTGGCAGAGAAGGGGCTAAGCAAGCTCAACGAGTAGCTACTATGTAATAATGCCCATTGAGGACGAGCAATTGCCGCGCTGTGCGAAGTGGATTGAAACTGACGTTTAGGGCCAGCCATCTAGCGAGATCTAGCCAGAAAACCGAGACATGCGATTGATTTAGACATCGTTGCAAGGCTTAGTTGGACCAGTCAGATAGCTCGCAACGTGAAATCTGCGGCGTCCTGTAGATGTCAACTGTGTTGGTGGCGCCTTCAAAATCCTGACACAGAAGCTTGACGGGGCCCGCTTTGCATATTGATCGACATTGGGCATGGATAGAGAGCAATCAGCTATAGTTTCCAGAATTTGTGGCTAAAATAGAAATCGAAGCCCTGCTGCTATGTTGATAGACGTGGGGAGTGATCGACAATGATTAGAGCGGCCCGAAAAGGGCTGAGGCCTCAAGATGCCATTATAAACAAAACGAGGCTTGGAAACAATCTCCACGTTTGACTTTCTTTTTCCTTAGCTCGAGGACGGATTGAAGTGTCGAGGTAGGTGGAAAAAGCAAACATTGTATTTGGTTTGTTGTGCAACAGCTGATAACTCGTTGTGCACGATTTGTGTAGCTGCACTCGAGTAACCAGTTGATGCTGGTCAAGGTAAAGGATTTGCGCAAAAGTCGGTATGTTTGACGAGGGAGCCCGCACTTTGTACTCCGTACGTCCCATACAGATGCATGTGGTGCAAGACTGAGGTACGACAATTCTCAATTTTGGTGTTTCAATTAGGTCAATGTTTCTTTCGGCCAAGCTTGGCCCATGCCATGTGCAAGTGGATGAAATTCGCCGAGATTTGATCTGTATCGGTAAGGTACGAATAGACATTTATCAGTCCTTCTCAGAGCAACGGCAACAAAATACCTGTATTGTATTTGGGTTGAGGCCTTCACAAAGAGCTACTACGTCTCAGCTATGACCCGGAACGGATCCTTCCAGGGATAGCCCAGACGTAAGCCCCTGTGTCTGTGGGACCAGGCCGTCAGTTGCATCATGGAGCAGTCCGGGTACAGGGGTGCCCCGATCCCTGTGATCGTCGTTGCAAACAAACCACAATAGTTTCTAGTTTCAGTTCTGGTGTACTGCCATTGGTGTTTGTGTTTGTGTTTGTGCCACCTATGCTGGGCGCCCGTTTCTTCTTCTTCTCTCGCTTGCTATACAGTACGCGCTGGAGATGAGGCGCTGACGGGAGTGTTGCTGCAAGTCCCCGATAGTCTGGTTCCATGCTCAAAGCTGCATGGACAACCATCCCCGATCATTCAGTTTAGCTGGCTGGGATTCCGGCTTGAGGGAATGAGAGAAAGCTTGGGCCGACTCTCATATCCATTTCAGTATTGTTCTTTTTAGCTCCGAATAAAAACCTAAATAAACCAATAAAGACTTTGCGACTTCAATAGACTGTCGGGCTAGATGGGGTTATGGAGACCCAACAGAATTAAAAGAAGTCGCTAGAGGGCCTTGCTTTTTAGCTGTGGCAGCCGGATTGTTGCAGGGTTCAGCGATCAACCTGAAATCTCTCACTCAAGTCCGAGTTGAATAGAGGAGACTCTATCGGTTGACAGTGGAGAAGGAGGTGGTGGCACTGGCAGGCCCGGCGAGCTGCAACTTCCCCGGTAATCTGGGTATAGAGCAAAGGGCATGCACCTGCCTCAGATCGGATATGTATCACACACCTGCTTCTGCTTCTGCCTTCTTGCATGTTTCCATCCTCACGGAACCTGCCTTCTTTTTACTCATTGACCACTCTTTACATTCTTCGAGAACAGGCATTATTTCCTTCTGCCCCTTCTCCCTTCCCCAGGCTGGGAATTCTAAATTACCTTCAACCCTTCTCATAACAACTTGACCTATTCCCAGTACTTTTATTCCCTATTCATTGAAATATCCCTTGTAAGTTCATTCCTATATTCATTCCAGCCATGGTCATTAATCATTTAGCAGAATTTTTTCGTGGTAAATGAGCCGGTTTCACACCAGGAGCTCCTCGACTGCGCTCCCTTTTACCCAGCTTGTCCCCTTGATCAAGCATTCCTTCAACCACAATCCCTTATTTTAATTCTGCGTTTCCCATTTACCTTTCTTCTCTATACTGAAAGATCGTCCGGATCAGTGGCGCCTCGAGTATCCACTATGTCTACCGACAACAAGCAACTTGGGAGCATTGTTGCCTTTGAAGGTCATGTAGATACCATATCGACACAACTACGACTTCTTCCTTCTTCGCCGCAGATTTTGATTCTCCCCAACGTTCAGAATTACATCCCAAATGATGCGACAGATCATCGGTCGGATGTTCGCCTTTATGTCAAGAGAATACACGAAGCTGCTGTAGCTCGTCACGAAGCTGCCCGAGCCTTCCTACAAGAATCAACACCAACCAACAGGCGACTAGTGTTTATGAATGGTGGTACCTCAAGCGCTCAAGCTCTATGCATTAGGGTCATTATGGATCAAGAGACCGAGGGGGATGTCAACCAAGCCGAGTCCCTCTTTCATCAATTGACCAAAGATGGAGTCCTTGGCCTGAACAATTCAGTACGAGACTGGAGATGCCCAACCATGTTTGACTGCCTCAACAATAAGGTCCTAGGAGATGAGCTGGAAGATCCCATAACACGGGCTATGAGAGCTGCCGAAGCCCTGGACCGACAAACGGCTAGTCTTCAACCTTCCACTGAAGTCGACCTCACTCTCACATCGCGACCCCGAAGCAACAGCCTACCACTTTATGGCTACAACGACAACTTTGGAGACAATGCGCCATTCTTTGTTTTCGGCGCTCAGAAGAATGAAGAGGAGGGGAACGTCGCCGAAGAAGCCAGAGGCTATTCACATTCAACACAACCCTCCAGATTCTCCAGATTTTCCATCACACCCTATGATCGATCGGCAGATCGTATTTACCATGGTCTCACTCACTTACAGTCCCCTTCTTTGAGAACGTCTTTTGTAGCCTCTCCAAGTTGTGTCGGAGAATCATACAACTTGATGGCGGGTCCTGTGTCCCCTGGTCTCGAGGCATTGACTCCACGGTCCGATGTATTGAGCATCCCATCCACAGATAATGTCGTGTATGGCGAAGCTTCATTACTGGACATGCGATCTCCAAGCTGTAGTTCTACCCTGTCACGAGTTAAGTCCTTGGACAGAATCTACCCGGCCACTCCCAAGTATCGGGACCTTTGTGTGCCTGCAGCCAACCCAGAGCTCGTGCGCCAGTCGCATTTCAATCCCGAACAAGACCTTTCCGAAACACGCCGATTATCCAAAGCGATGTCTATAATCAGACGCAGCTATATAGACGCGCCAAGGACTATTGTAGTCAAGACTAACCTTCCCGTCATCAAGATGGCCCCTGTCCCCTTGGAGAAGAAGCGTAAGCCTGCACGGGAATCTTACGTGGATAGGGGCACAGATGCCAAAGACGTGGCCGAATCCAAGGAGACTTTCCAGCCGGTATTGCCTTTGGTAGAGGACCTGGTGGTTCACTTCAAGGAAGACATCTCTGAACCTATACTTGATTCAGTTCTTCGTGGGTTTAAGACTGGTGGCTTTTCTACTTTCCTCCAGTCGCCCACCTCCGAGTTTGACGACTACAACGCCTTAGTGCCCGCGACACCCGAGTCTCAGAATATCACTGGTGTGAGATGCATTGAGGATCAGTACCAGGAGCTTCCTATTCATAAAAAGCTTGACTTGGAATATGACCCATTTGCATACAATCAGCCCTCATGGCTCAGGAGAAAACCTCTGCCCAGTCTGCCTAAACTAACAGTGGAACGACCACCAACACCTGTTAGGACACCTCCGCTCTTGGTTTCAGACACGGATAACAAGATTCACGATCTTCGAGTCAATGGTCAGCAAACAGCCATCGCGGTACAAAACTCACTTCGCTCTGTTCTTCAAGATCACTTCCCACCAGAGACCAGGGGCTATCGTCAGTTCCAGTTTCACATCTTACCCGAGCTTGAGGGATTGTGGAAGCCAGTCTTCTGGGATACTGAGCCCAACGGTTCGCAAGGGTCATGCCATCGTATTGACCAAATCTTGGCTATCGGGGCTCAGCGTGGTGTAAAGAGGGACTACACCTCTGCCGTAACAGGGCAACTTGAGAAGTTGGGAACCAAGCAAAGTGGTGTCAGTCGCAGTGGAAGACTGGATTTCAGGTAAGATGCCGGCGCTCCATAACATCGTTTGCTCAAAACTCACATATGACAGGTATCTTCTTGCCAATGCCATGCAGGCTTACACGACACAACCCTTGGCCAACCAGACGAAGGACAACCCCTTCAACAACCCGTTTCTTCTTGCGACACTCATCGTTCCTCATCTCGAGACGTACCTTGCTCTCCATACGGAAGTTAGGTATCTTCTCCTCGAGTACCCACCAGAGCATCTCTCTGCGGTGTTGGCTCTCCAGAAACTCGTTGGAATAGAAATGATGAAGGTGGCTCAAATCGTTGATACAAGCAGCAAGAACATGCCTTTTACTCACTTGCGCGGAAACTCCATTACTGGCCCAGAACAAGGACCTGTAGGCCGGTTTGGAAAGACTTTCCCACCCAACTCTTGCTCTGGCCACGATGCTACAGTATCAAAAGCCAACTTTCTTCTCACCTCAACCGCTAGTGACGCCGAGATTGCAACATTTGTTGCCACTATCTCCAAGATCCTTTCTGGTGTTTCTTGTTTCTATATCCCGGAAGAGCTTCCTAAAAAATACTCCCCGAAAAAGTCCAAGTCAACTTCCACGACAGGAAATTTCTCTGCTTTCCCACGCATACCATCATCACCATATAGCCCACCCATGTCTCCAACGATTGTGGTTTCATCGGGAGCAACCTTTCCAGACTCATCTGCAATGCCGAGTCGGGCCCCCTCCATTGCTGAAACGGTCAAGACAGCAAAGTCGACCAGGAGCAAACCATGCCGATCCAAATCGAACCGCAAGCCCCTAGCCGCCGATGCTCGATCAATCCTCACCATGTATATCGATGATAGTGATTGGGATCAGGAAGACAGGCGCATTATGCCTCTGCTGGAGGAAAAGTCTAACGGACGTAAGGCAAACACTCATAAGGCACTCAAGTTCTTGGGCTTGTCATGATGTCGAGACGGATAATGTTGTCGGAGCACTAGAGATATGGCTGTTATGATGTAACGATCTTGCCTAACCAAGGAACTTCCTTTCTGTTATTTTGTTGGACATAAATTTGAACGACGCCTGTGAAGACACGGTACAAGGTTATCTAGTCGTTCACCACGATAGTGTAATGTAATTTTTACATCATACAGCCTGGTGCTTACTTGAAATTCCGAGGATTAAATTGTGGATGTATATGAAACCCGATTTCGGTTATTGTACGTCAAATATATCAATAGTAGAAGCTCAGACACTGCTGTTGTCTTCGTTGCTCAACCTGCCCTGACCAAGACTTCCATCAACATCAACACCTTCTTTCCTCTGGGATTTGATTTCCTCTCTAGCCTCAGCCTGCTCGGCCTTTTTCCTGTCCATGATATTAGCTTGGAGCCTTGATAGCAGCTACTGAGGCAGACAAACCTGTCAAGGTCGGAAGTATAATCTTCGATCTTGATGTCATCCTTGCGAGGTTGATCTCTTGTGCTTGTCTTCTTTACTGCATCAGCGACTTTGCCTTCTGCAAGGGTAGCCAGTTGTTCTGCATCTTCATTGTAGTTCTGGAGAGGGGCCTCGCCCTGCTTTGATACTTGGCTCTCGAGACTGGCCATTTTGAAGGATTTGCGAGTAAGGAGTAGTATGGCTTTGTTATTTGGGTATATGATAAGTAAAAATGAAGACTCTCAGTATGGGTGAAGTTGTTATAATAAGAGCAATGTCAAAAGTAATGACATCAGGCTGTGAGGTTGGTCTATGACGTACATGGGCTTGTTTACCGCGATACCTATAGAGGATCTTCGTGCATGAAGCATGTGTAGCGCATATTATACATTATCATAAGAAATGCGTAGATAAGGATCAGACTTACATAATGTGTTCACAGTTGAGTATGCGGACATCTTCTTTGGTGGTCATGGTTACTAAGTTACACTGGATTACAGTCTGAATAGGAGAGTGACTGGTGGATGATTACAAACCTTAATGGTGATCTCTAAAGTATTAGCAACAACTAGGAACTTCAGCAGACAATATGTCACTAACAACGACGACGACGGTGATGATGATCAAGGGTCATACTAAGACTTAGGGGGTGAACTTTTCTATTACCTAGTAGACTAGTTCAGTAACGACCATGAAGCCGAGGGTAGTTAAGCCTGGACCTATGTCAGACTCAACAACCCATAACGACATTGTGGCCAGGCACTTTGATCAAAAACCTTGACTTGAACACATAGTAACTATAACGTGACTGTAATCCAGTTTACAGTCCATTGCAAACAGACGCTTCTCTCTTTGCTTCCCGTAGCTGACGCTTCAACCGGCTTGTTGAGTTGGAGACAGCTTGAGTTGGTCCTGTCAGCGCGAAACATCAGTTTCTATCCCATCATCAAACTCAACATCATAGAATATTATCGTAAGTCTTAGGGTATCAAAATAAGTAGTAAGAAGTGTGGCCTAAATAGCATAAACTGACCTACTAATTTTGTCTCTTATGTTTGCAGCGGCCAACTTTTCTGGTGCTCTGATACTGGCCAACAGGAACAAAAATATAGTCAGGCAAACTCAGTCTGTTAGGAGCATGGATTAAAAAAGAATATTCCGCCTTTATTAAGAATACCCTTTCTCGCATACATAAAATTGATCTCAGCTACCAAAAATGAAACCCACAGGCGAATCGGGATGGTAAAAGAGAAGAAACAACATAACAACCGATATCAGAACCCAGGTAAGAGAAAACGGTAAGCACAACCTTCTCTTGTAACTCTTGTTGGCTCAAGAGACTACAAAATAACAAAAGAGCAGGATGGCAAAAGGGAGAACGAGGTGCGCAGATGATGTTTCCAGCGAATGAATGGCAGGTTAAAAAGAACAAGAACCGACAAGATGCCCTTCGATGTTTGCGTTCCGTGATAGAAGGCACGGCAAAGGAAGAAAACGAGAAAATACAGCTTGCGCGTGCGCAAAACCTTCCACAGCCACCCGCCCAGGAACATAGGACCTGCCTCCGTATCTGCAACCTCCCTCTCCAAGTCCATCCCCACAATCAATATCGCTCCGTCTATTTTCCACCGCGTTTAGCGTCAGGGTCCGTGGCAGGCGTAGAGAGGGAAAGAGCCGTTCCTCTGGGTACTGAAGGCAATAAGAGTCGTAATTGCAGTAACGAAATGCATAATCCGAGCGATTATGATCTGGTCTATGCGGAACGACGAGAGAAAAGGTAGAAAGCAAACATCGTAATTGAATTTGTCTGGTCGTATCCCTAGCATGATCCATCTTTCCGGCTGTACTCCGTCATCCTGCTTCACTGAGAAAGGAGAGCGCAAATGCATTTAGCAGCAGCTGTTGTTGGAAGAAGAGCCAACACCCTGGCCTTGACCGACTTGCACACTAGGCTTGGTGTTGTTGGCTGTGGTGGTGCCCATGCGCTCCTTGATCTGACGGGCCATGGTCAAGAAAGCCTGCTCGACGTTGCTGGCGTTCTTGGCGGAAGTCTCGAGGAATGGAATTCCGAGGCTGTCGGCGAACTCCTGTAATTTGTGTCAGTGACTGGGTTGTTGTGGGTGGATATCGCAGCCGAGGGAGAAATTTGGTGACAGGGGCACTTGAGAGCTCAGGCGCTTAAATGCATGTGACCGCGATTCCAGAGTGCGATATCCCAGGTATGGATAAACTTACCTTGGCTACGCTGTACTCGACGACCTTCTTGTCTGACATATCGCTCTTGTTACCGACCAGCAGCTTGTTGACACCCTCTGTGGCATATCGGTCAATCTCCTGGAGCCATTGCTTGACGTTGTTGAAAGAGTCCATGTCGGTAACATCGTAGACGACGCAGATGCCGTGGGCACCACGGTAGTAGGAAGAGGTGATAGTTCGGAAACGCTCCTGGCCGGCGGTATCCCACTAGAGTACGAGTCAGTATTTTGATGGCAAAGCCGATGCCCGCGCAACGGGGGCACATACAATCTGAAGCTTGACGGTCTTGCCATCGAGTTCTATCGTTCGGATTTTCTAGCAACGGTTAGAGGATGTCGTAGAAAAGTGTCTACAAGGAACGCACAAAGTCGACACCGATGGTGGAGATGTAGGATTCAGTGTAGGTGTCGTCGGCAAATCGCAGAAGCAGACAAGACTTTCCAACACCGGAATCTCCGATGAGGAGGAGCTTGAAGAGATAGTCGTATCTGGAGGGTTTGAGTCAGAAAAGTGATTCTGCAATCGTCTCTCAACGCCGAAAGAAAGGGGGGAGCGAGCGCGGGTGTGAGTGTAGGCGATAGCGATGGAAGGTGCAACTCTGGAGCGATAGTCAGCATGGGCAACATTTCCATCAGGAGGTTATCGCAAAGAAGCGGAGAGTGGCGTACTACTCGGGGTTCATGATGGCGGCTGCTCGTTATGTCGCGGTAAGACAAGTCAATAAGATCGGTAGAAATGAGTCGTCGGGCGTGATGGAATAGGAGGCTGCAAAAGACGTGGAGATTTGGTTGGGAATGAGATGTAGAGAGTTGAGAGAGAGGCTCAAGTACGTCAGGGAAGAAACGTAACGCCAGGCAACGCCAGCACCGCCTGGGAGGAGGGAATGGGGCAGCTGACAGTGTAAGTCACGTGAGGGATACTTTGAAGAAGGACGAACAAAGACCAAATTTTGGGTAAGATTGGGTGAAATGTTTGGCGGTAATTAATTTAGGTAAGTTAGATGGTACATTAGGTATCAAGTAAACTAAATGAAAGGACCCAAAGTGTTAATTCAAGTCCTGCATCTTCTGGTCTGCTTCCTAGATCAATTTCATCTGTTATTCTGGCTACTCTCATGTGAAACGAGGTAAAGTAACACAGTGTGGTACTGTCCTTGTGATAGTGATAGTGATGAGAGTCGTGGCGATGTATCGCCTATTAGGCTGCCTGTAATGCTACTATTACTTTAGAAAACGTTGGTAAAGTTAACCTATCCCAAAGCGGATCAACATTTGCCAGTTGAAGGTCGAATAGCAGTATGACTTTAATATTTGGTACTAGAAGTGTAAAGATCGGAATGGACAAGAATGCCTGTCCTTGAATCTGATGCACTGTATTTGCTAGACTGATATAAGGAGTTGACCAGTTGTTCTCTATTTTTATCACAAGGCAGTTAGTAGTTAATGATCGACCAAGTCCTGGTCTTGTGCCATTATTAACACCATTCAAGTGACTTTGCACGTCACAAGTTAAGCAATGACTTCTAACCCGTAGATTAGCTTCACCGCCTGGACAAACAGTCACAGATTGCTGGTTTGGACAAACAGACAGTGTAATGTTGTGCTCTGCATATCCCGTATAATCTATACGATAGTTGTTTATTAATCTTATTAGTGGATCTTTTCCCACTTTGAGCCATTCTCTCCAGATTCCCATTCTCTCTTCTTTACTTCTTGCGCTGTCCCATTGCAACGGATGAGACCCGCCCCGCCACATCCCGCTCCGCTGTCAAGTCTGTGCCTGTGGCGGTGGAGTCTTGAGAGCTCAGCCAATCACTAAATATGTTTCTTAATCTTGTATCTTTGCGCTTTTTTTCTATTGCAAGATACTTCCGAGTTTACCCATATTCACACTCCATTATTGGAGATCCTGCAAAAGAAAGTCCCAGAAGTGGGCATACTTTCTTAAGCATTCGGGTTGCAAGTGCGCTTCCCCAACCAACTTTAACTCTATACGATCCTACCTCTAATATTTAATGCGTATCAACTGTTCCAGCCAAACACACTCTTGATCAATGAATTTCTTCGTCCTGCTGCGGTGACCACCCCAATGGCCGCTCCAATTCGATCCACTATAGGCCGCTCCGGCCGGCCTTGTGTTGCCTCTATTCGCAACCTCTCCAACGCCCATCCAGCAAAGGCACAGGTCCAGCCCATAACTGTTCGTGAGCCAAACATTTCTTCGCCAACTTCCGATGCTAGCCAACACACGAATTGTATAAGGCGAAATGCCTTGTCAACAACATATTTTGATGCGACAGGCATCCGGTTTGTTGGATCTGGCAATGACGGGTCAAAGGATCCCAATAAGGCAAAGCTAGGTAAAAGTACGTCACCGGGGAAATCTACAATAGTTCTGGAGTAGCACAATACTGATTCATTACAGCTTTGCGAGTTCTTCAGGAAAGATTACCGACCCTGCTTCTGCACCCTCTACCGCACGACATCCTTGCGCCAAACATCGCCCTTCATCTCTTCCCTTCGACACACCCTCACTTACCGACCGTCTCCGGTCGAGTCGCCTACAATGCCGCTCTCTGGACCTCACCTCTAGCTTGGAACCGTGTTCCCATCCTCGGCAACGTTTGTATCGAGGTTCTTGCAGAGCGCATGACAACCGAGCCCCTCACGTTCCTACCCCGCCGTGCTGGAGCTATACCAGAGCAGCTTGTTGTCCGCTGGTGCGAGAAGCGAAAGGGCTCTTACACTTCTAGCCCTTTGAATCGTGGCGTCATTGCACGCTCGCTACCGTTTGGTCGAGGAGTCGATCCAGACAAGGCCTTCACAGGACTATTTGTCTTCGATTTCGATTCCGAGGGACGAATTCTGAGCCACACGATTGAACAGGCGCAAGCAGGTGGCGATTGGGAAGCTGGAGTTGGTGCAAAGGTCGTTGGCCTAACCGATTGGCTTCTTGGGGGATGCAAGGATCCCGGTACTCCCATACCAATGTTTGAGCGAGTACGAAGACGACGGTCCATCTAAGTCGACACTATCCGTAAAAGAAGGAGAGGCAGTGGGATAGGGACGGGCAATACCTTCTATACCAGAGAGTTTCATACAGATACATGGAATGGCATCATGAGAGGCGTTTTCGGTTGCATTTGATCATCATCCGCCAGGTTGAGCTGGGTTGAGTCGTTTGGGATATTCATAACGACAGTGTATAACAAAAACAACGACGCAAGACTCCACACACATCCTGGCTCTGTATAGCTTTGTAAAATAGCAGTTATCAAAAGCTCGTTCTTTCCATAAACTTCGCACTATTGTGAGCAAGGGTCAAGTGAGGGCGTCAAATTAGGGTCGACCAGTATGTTGAGATTAACAATCTCGGTTTAAGTGGACATACATCAAGCTAACAGATTTCGAGCTCCAAAATTGCAAAAGATAAGGAACAGTCGAATGGGTGAAGGGTTTTTTTAGGTTTGGAGTTTAGAGAGTTTGTAGGTATTATAGGTTTTAGGACGGATACCACTCGACCACTGCTTATCAAAGGTATATAGAGTTGGCTTGATATATAAAGGTACCCTGACCCCGAAAAGTCCTTACCAATTGATAGATTCATGGTTTTTGAACTGCATGACTGTGTAAGTAGCTCCACCGCAAGCCAAATGACACAAGAAACAAATTACACACTCGTGATAGCAAATTGTTATGTGCAGCGTCGTGAAATTCGTGTATTTTTGCGCACTGTTCATCTCTCAGCCCACAGGATCGAAACTGATTTTCCAGCGGAGCCATCTCGTTCTACCCAGAACCGGCTCCTTCTATTGACGGCAAATGGGCATTTCACAATATTCTGCCCAAGAGACCGCTACCCTGGCCAGGGCTCTTTGAACGCCGAAACGAGAAACACAAGCCCTCGCTCTGTCTCAGGCCGTATGTAATTTCTGCTGTATATCCAAATATTCGCCTACAGCACAATCTCGCCAATGTTCTCCCCCTCAAAACCGTGCTTCGCGAGCTTCTTCATTCGCACCTTATCCCGAGCCTTGTCGGCCGCTTTCTTCTCCTCTGCGATCTCCTTGACGACTTTCAAGTCGGCCAACTCGAAACCAGGCGGGGGATCGTCGTCTCTGTCGAGGTCGATTTCACCAAGGAGTAGTACGTTCTCGCCTCGGACGAGGAATGTGCCGTGGTTTATGTCTGCGTAGAGACCAGTTGGCCGGTCGCTACCTGCTGAGTCGGGAGAGGGCGCAAAGATACGTTCGATCGTGGATTGGAGAACAAGATTTGCTGCAGTAGAGGGTGAGAAAAGGGCGTGTCTAAAGGCATTGTCTTTCTTTCAGAACGCACCGAATTGATCCCAGCTTCTCAGTACTCCGATAAGTTTTCTTCCATCGCGCAAAGCGACCATGAGCTTCTCTACAGTTTTACAGTCGTCAGCAAACAATCCCTCCCGTCTCCTAGTTTACGATCCAATCCGTCTCATCTGCATGTGGAACCGGGAACAGGAATGGACTGGTACCGAGGCGGAGTCGTACTGTCTGTGAGGTCCAGGAGCTGCGCGGCAGTCGTGAACATTTGCGGCGGCAGCTGAGGTAGCGGTTGCGGCGCACCACGGCCCTGTGGAGGGGCATCGTTGATGGATAGGTTCTCCATTATATCGTTTGGAGGAGGATGTTTTGTGGAAGGTCGTGCAGTCTGTGATTAAAGTGAAGTCTATTGATCCATGGAGTGTTGTGTGGTATGGCTCATGACATAAACATCGCGTGATATGCTATGCGTCGGTCTGGAATGATGGTATATTGAGCTGAGTCGTTGATGCTTTGACGTTGATCTAAGGTGTTGCGGATCCCATTACGGCAAAACAGCGCTACAGCGATTCACAGCTGATAGCCACATATCGCTATACACAGCATGATTCAGCAAAACGCGAGTCAATTTTCTGACCTCAGTGCGGGGCAGATTCTGAGGCATAAGCCAGGTAAAGTATGGAGGGGCGAATGAGAAAGGAGGGGCATGTTTACATGTACATACTCTTGGCGGGGCAGACATAAAAATGTCGGACAGAAGACAGGGAGCAGGAAAGGAAACAAATAAGCACTCATGACAAGGTCGCCCGCCACGGTCTACTACGGTTTAGTACATTAGTGTACGCCTGAGGTTGCAGCAGTGACTTAGACTGTGCGTCATTATATGCCGTCCGGCAAAAGGGTTCTCTTTTTTTTTTCTGTGCTTCGATCATTATTTGGTCTCCCTTCTCACATCAAGGCTTGAATTGAAGTCTTTCTGATGCGTCCGAGTGAGGGAATTCGCCAAGTCTATTCAACTCCACCATGACCAGGCGAGTTACTAAGATTTCATTCCATTCTAAGGGATGAATTGCGTGCATAATCGCCTCCCCATTGTGTTGGTTCTGGGGCTGTGCCAGATATAAAAAAAGAGCAAGATTCAGATAGCGATCAGCCTTTCTGTGACGCTTTTCCGGTCCCAACCGTGTTATTGCAATAAGATAATCCTCTGATCTCAATGCATACACCTAAGTACGCCGCTCAGATACCCTATCCCGTCCGAATTCTTAGTAGTGTAAGAAAGAAAGCAAATACTCTATCATAGTCCAGCCTAAACGCCTTTGGATGGATGCATGATGTAAAGTCTCTGTGTAGAGAACTGTAAAAGAGGAGATTGAGAAATAGAGCATCAAAACTCATGACCATGGTTTCGAAAATCGAGCGCGTGTTTTCCTCTCATAACGAGAGAACGGCAGAGTCTTGGTGGCCGGCATCCTCGTCAAATTTCGAAGGATTCTGCGATGCGAGGTTTACCACCGACCGAAATCTGTGCAGCCTCGATAATGCCACCAAGTCCGCTTGTTTTGTGAAAGAATGACCCGCCGGTTATAGACGGTTCACAGTTGACCGCTGCAGTGCTTCCTGAAGCTCTGGTCTCGTCGACAATGCCTCCCACGCTTGCGTAAACGTGAACCACTGGCGTTCTCGTTTATGGGATTCGGGCCAATCGTCAAACTCGCCGGTCACTGTGCCCTCGAAGAAGTGGTATCTTGACCGATCTTTTGACGATTTTGGTGCACGCTTTTCATCAATGTCGCCAAGGTCGTAACTTATTTGCACAGTGATGCCAGCTTCTTCCCAAGCCTCTCGTTCGGCAGCCTCTTGGCAAGTCTCGTCCGACTCCCAGCCGCCCTTGGGCAAAACCCAACCTTTTCGTCGTGTAGATTGGATTAAAAGCACATAATTTTGATCGGAGGTAAGAGGCACAATGCCAGCGACGAGTCGTTCACCCTTGGTGTTGTAGCCTGTGACGAGAACCATATCAGTAAGAAAACCCTAAGTGCGTTGATGAAGCCATGTGGTATTAATAAACAGGTTGTTGCTCGACTTGGTGGTAAGTCATGGGAGTGGCCATCACACCATGTAACAGGCAATAAATGGAGCTGGGATAGACGACGCCAAGACAAAAACCATCATAGAAACATGAATGACGAACGGGCATGCCGAACAAACATGTTCAGACAATAATTCATGCATGGCGCATAGGGTAAAAAACTCACGTTGCTTGGTTCTACCCACTCGTGACTCCATCGAACGGCCACCGCCTGAGTCGCCAGAGGCAGAACTCGACATGTTAGTGGTAAGTCGGGTAACGGAAAACGGGAATTGAGAGTAATGTCGGAGAAATTTGGTCGGACGACAACAAGAACAAGGAATTTCGCAGGTCTTAGATAACGATGATGCGGACACGAAAGCTTCAAGGTCCTCGGAGGTAGCGGAATAGAACGGATGTTCACCCCTGGGTTGAGAAAGAGAGAACTTGCGACGGGCGGACGGGTGACTTTCAGAGAGCCTTGAGAGCCATCATTGTTGAATAGTGTGAGTGGTAGTTGAGGTCTGGTTATTATGTGAAGGGGAAATCGAGAAGAGAAATGGCCGTGGCCTGCGCCAGAAGGTGCTGGTGCTTGGTTTTTGGTCGGGGAGAGCCCAGACGCTCCAGAGAGCTGGGCTGGCGATGTGATATAAACTGCGAGATGATGGAGGTGTGGGCGCGCACGCGCAAAACGTCCCAAGTTTAGCTCGAGGGGGCAGCGGGCGACTCGGCGGATCTCTGTCTCTGGCGGAACCCGCAGAGCAGGTAAGTTGCTGGGTTAGTAGGGTACGTACCGTAGCACTGCACTGTACGTGGGCATGTACTAATGTATGCGCAGAATGCAGACAGGATGGGGGGCGTGTAGGTACCGGATGCACTGGGCGCTCGGCGGACAGGCCTTCAACGAGCTAGTGACAGCAAGCAGGGACTGGAGGCGGATGTGAAAGCTGGATCCTCGTCTTTCCTGGCCAGGCCTTGCTTGGATCTGATCTAATGGAGCATGCGTAGCGTGCCAAAAGTACAGACAGTCACTGTACTGAGATGAAAGGTTATACTTGTAGTGGGCTTCAGGCCTAGACTGGCGGAATTGTACTCGGCAACGCAGCGGACGGCTTTCGCTTTCGTTATGTGCCCGCCTGTCTACTATTGAGCGGGCGGTGGAAGAGTGTGGAACCGAGGGTTTGTTTCTCTGGGTCAACCGATGCGAGGCAAACTTTGATGAGAAGAGATGGGAGATACGAAGGTTACCCCCCTATCTGATTGCTGCATTAATATGTTGGCTGACTGTGGCCGGGTTGTAATAGGAGAGGCTTGACTCGAATGGTTGAGCGTCTGACGCCTGTGTCTTTGCAGTGACTACTCATAGGCATAAAAAGCTTGCGCAGGAGCTTAAATCGATGGTGATGCGGAGACGCAGGCGGAACTATTGCCAGTCAATCGGCGGGAAAGAGTCACCTCTGACTAACTACGAGCCAGATTTCCGATCTGTATGAATCTTTGTTAAGTGATTAAGTGGTTGCTGATCGAGCGTCAAGAGTACAGGGTAAGGGCCCAACTGGTGATGCTTGATGGTACCTGCCCAGTGATATTCAGGGGAGTTTACCTCTGTGCTTAGCAGTGCACATAATGCATAACCTTCAAGCCGGTTTCAAAGTAGTATTGATTAACTCGTTAAATTGTCTTCCACAGTCCGGGGGTTGAAAGAACACGGGCAAGGTAATTAGCTGTATAAGTGATAAAATGACCACCTCACGGTACCATCTCCTGAAAGCCTGTCAATTGAGATGAGCTGACCATCTCCCTTAGGTACCAATAATGACCTAATTAGCTTAATGCCGGTTTAAAAACGCTTCTTTATCCATTTTCTGCAAGACGGTGCAAGGTTGACCTGTTGTATCACCGCAATGTACTTTGTAGAAAGGCAACAGGGGTGGCCGGCTGCTCATGCATCAGTGACGGAATAGGATATGTATCACTGGGAGGCTTTTGCCTGCTTTTTCTCTCCCCTTCGCGGCAGGCTCACGCTTCTTTGAGTTTCCAATCAGACAAGGCTTGGGGATGGAGAAGAATGATGAGTGAATATGCAGGACTACTGGTGTTTGGTAATATAGAGGGAGATCATGTTCCCGTTGTAGTGCACGACATGGACCCAATAGCAAATACTGTTATACTCGAATTTCTGAATAGAAAACTTCATATAGACCCGGCTTGTGGATTGTGATGGAGTGAGATGCAGAATGGTGCCACCAACAAACGTTCCAATGGAATCCTTGATGCAGCAGTATCCGGGATAAGACACTAGGTTCAAGCCTCAAAGCTATTGTGCTCGACAGCACCGAAGAAATACACAAAGTCGTGTAATCGAATACCCAGAACGAAAGAGCCTGGACAAGTAATTATTATAGTCTCGCACTTGGTAGGTAATGAAGGGTTGCTCTGGATTACTGCAATGTAAAAAAGCCTTTCGTTGCGTTGCACAGCACTATACAGCAATTGAGCCTCGAGAAGAAACGTGATACATTATTATCACACATCTGTTTAATAGTATCCGGTTGATATATAAGCACGCGCATTTCTTTACTCGTAGCGCGGAGTCCCCCATGGCCTTGATATTTGGGTTAATCGAGATAGGGTGTAGCTTCATACTCGCGACAGCTTCAACTTGGACCTCTTCTTAATTCACATGTCCACAATGATAGGTTCATCGTCGCCCACGGATAGAATAGCTCCCACACTGTAACACATCAACCCTGACGTACGATGCATGAAGCAACAGTAACAATAAGTAACAGTAGTACCGCATCTCATCGGAGGGGGACGGACATAATAGTGTGAGGGGGAGGGGTAGAATACCTTTACAGCAGTAGCTCAAGCAGACAGGCAAGCAAACAAGCATTAACTATTGGATCCATCTGTGGGATGGAGCATCGTGAAAGCGAGGCGTGAGCCCTCGATCTTTTCTGTTGAAGTATTAGTGGCAGAAGTGCAGTGCGGATAACCCATGAAAACATCCAATTGGACTCGAGTCTAATTGACAAGCTTCCTTTTTAGCATTCGTTTCAACATTTTCAACCTGCGGTGACTATCTCGACAGACGTCATGTTAGTTGGCCGATTCTAACTCGAATATTGCAATGCTTTAGTTATTAGCCCGTTCTTTTTAACAGTGGACTGTTCCATCTCCTCAACAATACTTGGCCTTATACTGGTTGAGCCGTAGCGTCTTTGGTGTAGCTTCTTTTCCACAACCAGATTTCGGAGACGACACCGAGAAAAGGCCCGCAAGTCGGATGATAAAAAGATTGGTGTCGTGATTCTCCAGGCGAGGTAAAAAAAAAAAATGCAAAAAATCTGCAGAGTAATGGAGTATCCTCCGGGCCAGTTACAAGATACAGTAAACGTGCAGAAATGCCTGCACTGATTTTCGTACGACACCTCGATTCGTTATCCCGGCCTGGAACCCGTCGGCTCGAGGCTAGTCCTGTAGGTTTCGTTCCTTTCGTTCCATCCCATTCGTTACACACGAGTTGAGCTGCAGCATGCAAGGAATAATGGAATATGTACTTTGCTTTACCGACTTGGCCGACTAAAAGTATCAGCGTTGATGGACTGGCCAACAAGAGTCAGGGCAACCATTTCCTCCAATCTCATTCTGTTTTCTCTGTCTCGAATAGATAGGTGCTTTTGCTAGACTGCCAAAACAAGATGAGATGACTTCTGTCAAGGTTGGTAACACAAACTCAGCCTTGTTATAAATTTGGCTTTGTAAATACTGGAGAGATCGGAACGTTTCCTACTGGATACGAACCGGGTCTCGAACAATCCGTTGTCTTATCCCAGGTACTATACCGTGTCATAGAGATACGTGTGCAAATCCTCGATACATAGGAAGCAACAAATCGGACAAATATGTTTGCTACTACTAGCATTTTTGTTTTTAGTTTCTGTATATCCAGTGATCCAAATAGCTTAGTAGCGTGTTATTAGAGATAGAGATAATAGATTTTTGATTTACACAATAGAAGGAGCCATAACGTGTATACGCCCTCGTGCTATTTGGACTTGTATAAACGCAGGTAACTGATTTATATAAAACCATACACGATCTGCAGGAAATCATTTAAAAAGAGAAACAAAAAAAGGAAAACTACTCCTCATCATGAGTTCGAATTGAGGGTGAATGGCTTGAGTGAGGTGGCATGCAGTTCAGAGTCCAGTCAGGCAGCGTAGAGGGCCAACCCCGCCATTAGGTTGGAAGTTGCAACTCCCCGTGGTTGCTGCCTTGGTTGGAGCTGGCAGATCTCCTTCATCACCATTAAAGCTCCGATATTTCTCTTTCCTTTTCATCTTCCTCCAGAATCATCAGCGTGCATTGCTCGTTTCTCGACCAGTTGCTGAACCACATCTCGACAACACGCTCATGACATTGCTTCCCACCATTCAGGCCTTCAATATCGGAACATAGCCGTGCAGTCGCTGACTATTCGCCTTGGAACCGTTGCTCGACTACCTACAGAACGGTCTGATCTATTCTACGCCATTGCCATTACCCGCCCTTACCCATCAGGTCCCTTGGGAGTAGCCTCTAAACCCCTGCTTGATCACCCTGGTCTAGTCATCTAAAGTTAGATCGAAGCCGTTCGATTTTGGTCGACTCTGTTGCACATGTGCGCACACGATCACTGTCCTTCAGCGCCAATCCTTGGATATCACCCGCAGCCAACGTCTCATCATCATTCGTGTACAGCCAAAAAAAAAAAAAAACAGTTGAACTAATCGTCAATTCACCAACTGTCAGACACGACACAACATCCCACGCTACGCACCTCTCTTTTACATTTGCCTACTCTTGCTTTCAAAAGGGGAATTAGTAGGCACGCGATCGCACCTCGCCTCGACAAACTCGCACGCCCCCTCCATTCTCCAGGTCTTGGGAATCCGCCCCTCTCTGTCCCCATCTCGTTTGAGCTTGAATTGACATCCGTACGCGGCAACTATCTACCTCACGCATTCACTTGCCCAACTTGGACTACACTGAGCAAGTCTGGTGGACAAACTGCCTCTCCAATTTGTCACAGCTTAAAAAGGCCCCGGCGCTTCTCGTCCGTCCACTACCGTTGTTTCCCCGTCTCTGGCAATTCGCTGCGAGAACACAAGCACTTTTACCAAACGCAGTTTCAGCAACACAGCACCAGTTAGTTGTGCAGCTTCGAGTTCCGCGATGGAACCCTATGGCATGCGCATCCCTGGAGATGCGTCGTTGCAGTACGAATATCTTTCGCCAATTGGTGAGTGCTTATTCCCACGTTCTTCTCCAACCGATCGTCCCCGTGGTTCAATGCCGGCTTGTCGTTGGTTGCCGGCGCCTGCGCTTGAGCTCCGCTGCGGCCGGTCCCCGTGGCGCCCCCGTTTTCCCCGTCCGGGTCAAGTCGCCCAATGCCCATACCCATATCCATATCAACTCCCACGTCAATATCGACCCTCAATTTAGGCTGGCAACGGCTGCCAATCCTGTCCTTAATAGTTGATCACAGTCATGTCCTACGGTCCCGCATGTCAATGCTCTACGCTAGGGATCAATCTTACTGTCAAGTGTCAATATTGATAGAACCTACGCTTATACCTGCTCACAAGTACAAGTTCCTTGGGTACTTTGTCTCGTTTACATGGGTTCTCGCCTCACATTTCATGTAGTCATGGGTTTGTTGTTGGTACTGGTTAACTAGACGTTGTCATCGTGCATTGATTTGTCAACTTTCAACCAGCAACATGTGATTCATCAGTTCTACCCTTTCCCATTACTTGTATCTTTGTGCCATTCGTTAGCTCAAGTCTGCACGACAAGTTGATGGCGAGACATACTAACGCATCCCCGAGCAAGGCCCGCCAGGACTTGACATGATATTGGGATGATATCATCATATGATGAGGCTTATCACGGATGTTGTCCAAGTGGATGGTGTCTTATGTTATACAAAGCGCCAACGGCTATTTTGGCCCTTCTCCTCCCACTTAGACATACCGTTCCCCCCACGCACGCCTCATCGCCCAGCAGATGACATCTGACAACAGCCATCCAATCTGATCACTCACCCCCACGCGATCGCTGTTCACATCCTTTTCTCCAATGGAAGCTAACTATCGTCTAGGATACTCGAAATCATCAAGATGTGGTTACTGTGGAAGTCGTGGCAAGAGTCAGTCAAAACGTGAACAAAACCCCTGCATCTCTCCCAAATCCTCCGATGACACCCAAGTTGTCTTCATTTACATTATGAGACATTTGCAATAACGCAGGTGCACAACTGGTCTCTCACTCTGCCCACCATCAACAAGCTATATCAAATGACCCCATTCTACAAACGAAAGGCTGACTCGTACACGGGTAACAGGTTACTCTTACTACGCCTCAACATCATCGCTAGGTTCGGAATTCTATCAGACTCTCCTGGATAGATGCTGGAGACGCTCAGGTACACTCATGTACCGACCTGACCAACGTCGGTCTTGCTGCCCTCATTATACTATCCGCCTCGATTCTACCCAGTTCAAACCATCTAGAGATCAGCGGCAAACCATCAACAGATTTAACAGATTTGTTTTGGGAGGTTCGTATATGAAGGAAGCTTCTCGACTGTACCCCAGGTCGCGCGATGAGGCTAAGAAGCGCGATAACCACTTCGACCTTGTTGAACGAATCCATGAAGCTGAGGATGCTAACGTGCAAAAGCCTCCTGAGGCTGCGCACAAACTTGTTGTGACCCTGGAACACGATGACTTCACAGAAGAGAAGTTTGCCGTTTACGAAAACTACCAGCGGGTGGTTCACAAGGACTCTCCGAGTGAAATAAGTAAAAGCGGATTCAAACGCTTTCTATGTAGCTCCCCCTTGAGGAGAGAGACGATGGTAGCACCGGATGGACGCGAACGTCGCCTGGGTTCTTACCATCACTGCTATAGATTGGATGGTAAGCTGGTCGCTATTGGTGTTCTCGACCTTTTGCCAGAGTGTGTGAGCTCTGTCTACTTTCTCTACCACGAAAGCATACATCAGCATGCACCAGGCAAACTCGGTGCGCTGTACGAAATTGCCTTGGCTATCGAAGAGGGCTACGGTTGGTGGTATCCTGGCTTCTATATACACAGCTGCCCCAAGATGAGGTATAAGATCGACTACTCGCCACAGTTTGTTCTTGACCCCGAGTCGTTGACTTGGGATCCATTGGATCGAGACATGCTGGACCTTCTCGACAAGAAGCCTTTTGTGAGCCTCTCACTCGAGAAGAAAAAGGCCATTGAAAGTGGAGATAATAAGCCTCCGGTGCTCAGCGAGGAGATAAAGATGAGTGATAGTTCTGAGGTCAAAGGATCCGACTCTTCGCTTTCTGGCGACGAAGAGGACGGCGACTGGCTGTTTACCTCTGGGATGCCTGGCATTCCTCCGGTCACTTTGGCGGCGACTTGGGATATGGATCACATTGCTTTAAAGATCGCCCCTGAAGGTCCGTTATATGAAACTTCGGACCTTGTCAGCTGGGACGAACGTGGTGTCAAAGAACACCCAGGACTGAAGTCCGCAGTGGCTGAGCTTGTCGCTGCAACAGGACCAGACCTGATGGATCGAATTTGTATAGATTTCGCTCCGAAACGATAGAGATGGATATCAAATGGGAGAAGATTACAACTCACAGTGTTCTGGTGTTACTTTTATCTTTATGCTGGCTTATGACAACTGTTCCAACGCCTCAATACAACGGTTCATCATGTATCATATTCTGAGCCAGGCAGTCACTTAGGAAGAGAATAGAGAATGTTTATTGACTGAAAGATGCGTATCAATTCAACACTCTTACGACGCTTGACTTATATTAACGCTGTAGTATTTGAGTATAGTCAGATGCGATTCTGTGATTGGATGCAGAGCTATGCTTTACCAGCTATCACCCCGCCATCTCCAACTAGCAAGCCCACCACACTTTTTTTCTGCTTTATCTTATCATTCACCTCGGTGAGCAACCAGCCTTTTCAACACCAAAAACCTGCGTCATTGCCGTTTTCACGTCGCACTTCTTATTCAGTGACTTAGCGAGCCGCCGCACTATTATTATAAGAGTATCGCATCGTATAGCTGAATCACTGGGCATACGTTGCCATTGTTATCACCATGGCGTCGCAACAAAACCTCTTCTCGCCCGCCGAACTCGCATATCTGCATCAGTCGCTCTCTCTACGACCCCCAATCCGACCCGATGGACGCAGTCCTACGCAATTTCGCCCTTTGACAGCCGAGACAGGCGTACTTCCCGGCACAAATGGCAGTGCGCGCGTGCATTTCGCGGACGGCACGGAAGCCATTGTAGGAGTCAAGGCTGAGATCGAAAAGACAGGAGGAAGCGAGGAGCAGCAAGATGAACAGGACAGATCAAGGAACGATTGGCTTGAGCTAGCAGTGGAGATTCCGGGCCAGAGGGACGATGACTCTTCCACAGTGTTCTTGGCTGAGATGTTGAGAGAGGCGCTCTTGGCTGATAATGAGTTTGCCAAGAAACTGAGGATCAACAGGCGGTTTCACTGGAGACTATACCTTGATGTATGTGGAATCGCGATATGATAGGAGGGAACTTACTAACTGATATTGCAGGTCCTTCTAATATCCCCTCCACTGTCATACCCTCTTCCACTACTCTCTCTCACAACACATCTCGCCCTTTTGGCTACGCGCCTGCCCCGACTCAAGTCTGAGGGTGACGAAGACCCCATGTTTGATGATGACTGGGAGTCATCAACCTTTTTGTACCCTCGCGATGGTGCTGAGGCAGAGGGCTCACGACCACCTATCACGCTACTTGTCGTTGCGATTGGCGACAACACTATTTTCGACCCTGCCAAGGAGGAACTAGCTGTCGCAGAGAGTGCGCTGGCTGTATCTGTGGCAGAAGTCCGCAAAATCAAGGCAGATGGTGAAATGGATGTTGATAAGAAGGGCCGCGAGCTCAAGTTGTTGTCTATTCGAACTGTCGATCCCCCATCGAGATTGACCCCACCTGGAGTACCGCATATCACTAATAACTCGGCTCAGAAGGGTGAAGCTCAAACGACTGAGGGCGTCTGGAAGGCACCACTAGGTGGAACCAAGTTTGGAGTAATGGATGGTATAATACAGTCTGTGCTGGAAAAGGGTGGTGTTGTAGACGAGGTTCTGGACGGTTTGGAGGGCGTTGAGCTCTCATAATACTTTGTATGGTCAGGATAAGGGTATGGTAGAAAACTTTGAGGCCTCGCGGGGCTGTATATTCCACGTCATTTTACAACTCATGATTCTCGTAAAATGGAGAGTGTTATGGTACAGATATATATGGTACATGTGGATTTTTGTTCTTGGTTTTACGGATTTTAGAGGACGCCGAACCACTTCTTCTTGGGCTCCTCAACCTTTTCCTGAGCCTCAATCTTGGGTGTAGGCTCTGCTTCCATAGTAACCTCCTTCTCAGGCTTGGGCTCTTCCTCACCCTTGCCAAACATGACAGTCACGGGGTCCTTTGTCTCGATTCCATGCATCTTCATAAACAGGCGGCGCTTGGCGACATCGTCGAGGTGGTTGGTGCGGTGCTCCTTGGCCTTCATGGCCTTGTCCTGTTCGTGGAGCGTGATTACGTGCTTCCAGGCGACAAAGAAGTGAACGGGTTGTGTCCAGATGTCTGAGATGGGAGGTACGAGCTCCTTGTAGGGGGAGTTATAGGCGTAGTTCATGAAGAATGTGAAAATACCTAGGGCGAAGAGGGTTCCCTATCAAGAGTCAGTTAGTTGGCGATATAATCAAAGCGCATTGATGGTGGGTAGACCAATCAAGTTGTAGACTGTAAACGTACCATGGTAATAAAGGTATGCAGCATTTTGCTGTGCCAGAAAAAGTGCTCCCATGTTCCCTCTGGGGCCATCATGCCAGGATAGTGCTTCCTGCTCTGGACAGCGATCTCGGAGGCAGTCAGTTCAGGACCATAGTGCCTGGGAACATTGCCCTTCTTGAGACGAGAGCCATGGGAGGGAGGGTTGAAGCGAGCGGGCTTCTCGAGAACAATAGGTTTGTCCTTTGAGGAAGAAGAAGCAAAGCGAATTCGAATGCTGTTCTGGGAAAGTGGGATGCTGATACCACGCCAGAGGGGACCCTGAAGAGGGAGTAGGAAGCGAGGAATGACAGCTCGGGATGTCATGTTGTCGATATATATAGCTTCATAAAAAGAGAGGAAAAGGGTTGCCCTTGTTTCTCTCCTCCTAGTACTTTGGAGCTTCTTTGTGGTGATAGTATCGTGATGCCCTCACGTTTGCTCCTCAAAGAAGAATCTTTTTTCCGAAGCCGTTACGTAGGTTCCACTGCGATTCTTTTGACGGGGGAGACTAAGCCTTTGTCGGTATAGCTTGTTCTTAGCCTGAAAAAGCAGGACTTGGTGAAAGACCTGAACCCAGATTCTGTCCCAGCAGAGGAATCAATTTTTTTTGGTCACCCGCGGGTCCTTGCACGTTGGCTATCATGGAATAGACACCCCGGAACAATGAACATCGCCGATGGAGATCCACTTTAGAGTTGTGGTCCGACTTTACCCGGAGCCACAATCGCTCAGTGCAGGGGTAAGAATGACGGCTTACTTACGTTTCGCCTGTGATTGGCTGTAAATGAATTCAGCCACCTGTGGCGTTCCAACAAACCCAGCGATCCTCACCCGGTCGTGTCATGCTGTCATAAAGTTTTATTTTCTTGTCTTGTCTTGGACTTTTTTTTCTCTCTTTCTCTCTTCCTTCCTCATCCACACTCTCAGCAACCAAACGATCTATTCCACGTCTTTGGCTAACGCCCCTCGTTGTAATCACTACTACCTTTAACTTCTTAATCAACAACCCACATTCACAATGGCTGGCGGTAAGTTTTTCTCACAGCACACTTCCTTGCTTTGCGCCGGACGACATCGCACGGCTTTCGGGGGGTCAATTGAAGAACATGAGAAAGAAGCACTTCGCCGATACGGTATCACGACTTGAGTTCATCTGTCGAGGAATTCTGGGTTTATGACAACGGCAATGATTACTCCAGTGATCACCTTTCAGCCGTCTGCCAGCTGACCCTGTTGCCTGCGTCATTTACCCAGAACAGGTTTTCCTGCGATCATGATTCGCAACCAAGGCTCACTACCACCCTCGTGCGACATGTCCAATCACCGTATCGGTTTTCTCTACGTCTTCTTTTGCTCTCAATAGCACTTCCTGCGTCGGCCTCGTCAACTCACTCAACCACACGACTCATGTACTGACTCAAGATTTTCAGGCGATCTCAAGAAGGGTGCCAACCTCTTCAAGACCCGATGTGCTCAGTGCCACACTGTTGAGAAGGACGGCGGCAACAAGATTGGACCTGCTCTGCACGGTCTCTTCGGCCGCAAGAGTGGTACCGTCGATGGTTACTCTTACACCGATGCCAACAAGCAGAAGGGTGTTGAGTGGAACGACAAGACCCTCTTTGACTACCTCGAGAACCCCAAGAAGTACATCCCCGGTACCAAGATGGCTTTCGGTGGCCTGAAGAAGGAGAAGGACCGCAACGACCTCATTGCGTAAGTTTCTACAACACCCGAGCTGCAATCAGCATACCCCTAAACAGTTACTAACTCTCTCAACAGCTACCTCAAGGACTCTACCAAATAAGCGACTACAAATCGCGTGTAATGTTACGACTTTCGATAGATGGGAACCGCCAAGGGGCGACTGTACTATAGATTTTTACACAGCACTTGTTAAGACATGCCACGTGCTTACCCATTCCTATCTCCCTCTTTATGCGTCTCCGTCCGATACACTTTTTTAAAGAAAGCCCGGCGTTGGACGAGGCAAACGGGAATGAACATGAGACATTAGAACATGAGATGTCCGCCTCTCTGCATTCAGAGATTATGTTTTATTATGATTAGACAGAGATTAAAAGCTTCTCGAATTCTCACCTCTTACCGCATTTTACTTTCATAGAGATGCAATTGTGACCGCCATGGCAAGTATCTGATCTCAGTCTCGGGAATTGACCCTCCTGAGATTGGTTGCTCAATTCCAATCCCACTAGCCCTTTAATTTTCCCCTCCGATAGCCGAGCAACCCATAGACAAAATGGGTCCTACAGATTCAAGTCGGTCCTCAGGATTAGAAAAGTTGGTTGCAAAAATCATAAGGGACGAAATCAGTAGGCCAGCTTATGGTACTTAGATCAGACTTCTTGGGTTATTAACTTGATAACCTAAAGCTTAGGACCAGCTTCCCCTTCCCTACCAGCCGGTCACTTTCTCTTTGCATGAGCAGGTTTATTTTGCAAGTTTCATCATGAATGTGATTGCCGAGCTATTTCCGCGGCACTCCGTTGCTCCGGGCGGCGTATGCGGGACCTGCGGCGATCGGCGGGCGGTGTGGTCGTTTTCTTTCTTGATTTATTCCTTGTCTAAGAATTTACTGGAAATATTGTCTCATCTTTTGGAGATCTTGCTTTTACCCCTGGTTTGCCATGTAACGGTTTGGGCTGACAGTTGGAGAAGTTGAGCCACATAGGGTGGTGGGGTTGAAATGAGTGGCAGAAGTTGACTCTTAAGTAAGGGTACAAAAAATAAGCGATCTAAGAAGTGTAGTCTAAGTAGCCTAAACTGGCCTACTGATTTCGTCTCTTATGCTTCTGGCGGCCATCTCCTCTAATACCCCGATGGCTCTCCTAAGTCTCAGGGTATAAAAATAAATAGTCTAAAAAGTATGCTAAGTATCATAAACTGACCTACTAATTTCGTCTCTTATTATTCAGTTTGTTTAAACTGAAAAAAGTATCATAAAGTGACTCATAAAATAGGTGATTTTGCCTGAGCACTAGACTATTACGACTTTCTCATCTTGGCTTCTAGTTTCCTGTACGTTTCCGGGTTCGTTACACTTCTATAAGTACTCGATAACGCATATTCCCAATCTTTTTCGTCAATGCCCTCCAATTCGGGCCCCTTTTCTGCCTCCCGCTCAAGTGAGCTCTCGGCTGCCTTGTCGTGCAGCCCTCCCAAGTCGGCACCGCTAAAGTCAGTACACCGAGGGTCACGAGCCACAGCCTCGAGCCTCTCAAATTCAATGGGCTTTGCATCGGGGTGGCTTGTGCGGTAGATGGCACGCAGGATATCGACTCGCTCGTCGGGGGAGGGCAAATCGAGGAAGAGTCGAACGTTGAGGCGACCAGGGCGAAGCATAGCAGGGTCAATCATATCCGGGCGATTGGTTGTGCCAATAACGTACACACCTGTGCGGTCTTGAACACCGTCGAGTTCAGTAAGAAGAGCATTGACAACGCGGGTGCCGGCCTCGGTGGAGGCGTTGTCACGCTTAGGGACGAGGGAATCCATCTCGTCGAAGAAGAGGATGCAGGGAGTGGACGAGCGTGCGCGGTTGAATAGCTCACGCACAGCACGCTCTGATTCACCAACGTACTTGTTGAGAAGCTCCGGTCCGTTAATCAGAATGAAACTAGCTTGAGCTTCGTTGGCAACAGCTTGGGCGACAAGTGTTTTTCCGCATCCTGGAGGACCCCAGAGAAGGCAGCCTGCCGGGCGGCGAAGACCGTGACGGCGGTAACGGTCAGGGTCTCGAATGGGGCCGATGATAGACAATTCGAGCTGTCTGCGGGCGGCTTGAAGGGCACCGACTTGATCCCAGGTGATGTTGGGCACAACGGTGAAACCGTCCTTTCGTAGAGAAGGCACAAAGTTTTTGATAGCTGCCTTAAAGTCTTGCTGTGTGATAGGATTAATGCTTAGCTCCGGGTCGATGCCAAAGTGTTGCGTATCCTCAAGCTCCATAAGGTCCGGGAGCGGTTGGTCCATAGAAAACCTTTCGTCGAGATGTCGCTGGTACAGGCTGAGGTCCATATCGCGCTCTGTCGCCTCTTGCTCTGCGAGGGTCAAAACGTTAAGGATATCAGCCCCGACAAACCCATGTGTTATTTTGGCCAACTCTTTGAAGTCGACGTCTTGAGACAGGTTCTTGTCTTTCGTAAGCAGTCTAAGGATATCTTCGCGGGCCTCGGGGTCTGGTATTCTCATTTGAACTGTGCGTTCAAATAAGCCTGCCCTCAAAACGTCAGGGTCGACATCAGTGACTCGTGATGTCGTAGCCATGGCAAGAATGGGTCTATCCTTGTCATGTTCCGCTTGAATTCGTTCCATCTGTCGCTCAAACTGAATCAAGTTTCGGCGATGGCTGTCGGTATGGCTTTTGCTTCCGGGGTTTGATATGAACCAGTCTAATTTTCTAATGAAAATAATACAAGGGGCCAACCTCATAGCTTCCTCGATCGCATCATTCAGGCTTCGTTCCATGCGCTCAGGATCTTCAAAGCATCCGGTGAGTGACACGATTGGCACCTCGATCTTTGATGCGAGGTATCTAACCAAAGACCTCTTCCCTATTCCTGGAGGACCCGAAAGAAGAATACCCGGCACATTGCGCAGGTTGTGGTGAACATAGTACTCCGGCTTTTTCAGGAGGAAGTGCGTTTGCTTGCAGAGTGTTGTGTAGATGTCTCTCACACCCCCAATTTGTAGCGCATTTGAAGGATGTTCGATCTTGTACCGGCTTGACTTTTGCGTCTTTCTCAAGGGCGTTTTGTCTTGTTTTTCCGCTGGCGGCGCATCGGTATCCGTTAATGCGCCCTTGGGTGTAACAGCGCCGTCTTTTGCGCGTTCCTCTCCATCTTCTTGCACACGGCGCTTCTTGGCTGCGCGTACTGCCTCGCTCGGGGGCGCAGCATCTTGAGAAGCTGAAGTGCTTACCGCTGTGCTGACTGCTGTGGTGGAGTTCTGGTGCCAATGCTTCGTCATCTGCCTATTAAGAAGGAAGCGGTCATCGTCGGGCTTGGGCGGCTCTTCGAGATCAGCTTCTGAATCGCTCGAATCGTTCCCTAGTTCCTCTTTGCGGTATTGAAGCGCGCGATCGATCGAATCTTCGAGAGGGCGCTTCTTCTGTCGGCTAAGGCTTGAATTTGACCTTTTGATGGCTTCGTACACGGCTGTTGTCGTCTTGAAAGGCTTGCCGTCGTTGCTAGTATCTTCGAGCTTTTTCAATACGAGATAGACATCACGGTCCAGGCCCTTTTGGAGGGCCGGCCGTGGCCTTTTGGCCCCGATTGTCATGGCTTGCGGTGTTGAGTCAAGGCGAGTGTCAGGTTCAAGATTCGATGCCATGATCGGCAAAAAAAGTTGAGTCTACTAACTGTTAGGTGACAGAAATAGTGGGTCAGAAGACGATCTCATGGCCGCAGAAGATAGAAGTGGAAGCTAGCTGCTGAGCAGGTCACAGCGCTTTTGTATTGGTGAAATTAAAGTTGCTGCATGAACTATATTCTACTATGACTCTTATCTAGGTAGCTGTAGACATACGTGACTGACACAGAGCTGCCTACAGCTGTCAGTCAACACAGAATATTATTAAAAGTCTTGGGATACAAAATAAATAGCCTAAGGAATATATTCTAAGTAGCATAAGCTGACCCACTAATTTCGTCTCTTATGCTTCCAGCAACGTTTCTAATCCCCTAAGGCCTGCATTTGGCTAGCTATATCTATGTTAGAGTTGGAACATAATTGAATTTAAGAGGTATGTAATTACAATATATATAAAAAATGTATGCCATAGACTCCCGTACCGTGAAACTGTCTTGAGACTCTTGTTTTAGGTCGTCATCGCAAAACAGGTAGAACTGGAGGTTGAATTTTGTCCATTTAGAAAGGTCTCGCTTATCGATAAGACCCTGAACCCCGGTCCCGCGCCGATGACGATGGTCTTCCTCGTGACAATCGCTACCGTCGTTATCGTTGAAGTGACATACTAATCCCAACCTCAATCTTTACAATAACACAATTGTCGCGTGGACCCTCCAATAATCCCAATAAACTAAACTTAAGGCGAATATTACCATCGCGAGCATCACAATGGGTGGAAATGCGAGTAAAGTCACAGCCCAGGATAAGTAAGTCCCTCCTGTCGATTACCTCTCTTACCTCCCCGCGATTGCGCTCGTGACCGCTCGCCCACTACCAGTCTGGCTAATACACCCTCTCAGGGCGATCCTGGATATGAAAAATCAGCGCGATAGACTCCATCAGTACCAGCGAAAGATAACAGTCTTGACGGATAAGGAGACCGATATCGCAAGGCAGATGCTGGCAAAGGGCGACAAGAAGCGCGCTCTGCTGGCTCTGCGGCGCAAGAAGTATCAAGAATCCCTATTAGCCAAGACGGATGCGCAACTAGCCCAGCTCGAAAAGTTAACATCGGACGTCGAGTTTGCGCTTATACAGAAGGATGTTGTGTTTGGATTGCAGCAGGGTACTAAGGTACTCAAGGAGATTCATGCAGAGATGGGTGGTATAGAGAATGTTGAGAAGTTGATGGGCGAAACGGCAGATGCTATTGCATACCAACAGGTACGTTGCCATGATCATGTCGTGAGATGGAATATATCTTGCTTACACGCTTCTAGGAAGTTAGCGATTTGCTCGGTGGGCGTATGACAAACCAGGACGAGCAAGAAGTGGAAGACGAGCTGGAAGCTCTCGAAGCCGAACTTGCTGGCCCAGCACCTTCAGAGCGACTACCTGATGTCCCCATCAGCGATTTGCCAGAACAACAGAAGGTTGAGGCACAGGCCGAAAGGGCAAAGCAGCCAGCCATGCTTGCAGCATGAGCGATGGATGCAGACCAGATATCTTGTTTCCCAAAGCATTTTGGATAGAGAGCATTTGCATTTTCGAAGGGATTTTTCTATACTTAGACTTGGGGGGTTTATACAGCGGGCACAACAAGGCGTTGCGGCATTTTTGCATTTAGATCATCAACACACTATCTTTGTCATTGCTCTCTATTATTCTTATTTATGCGTACTTGCTGATGAGTTTCCTCATGATGGACATTGCGCCTCCTCTGTAGCCTCCGCCGAACATGGCAAAGTGGTTGAGATGGTGGTATCTAGGATGAGTCAGTCATCGTGCTGTGATGTTGGAGGCAAGGGGTGATCTTACAGTTCGTACAGCCTTACTCGGTCTGGCCATTCATCCACAGGTTCAGCTTTTGGTACGAACTCGTGATACTCTTTCCAGAAGTGATTGCTGAAACCGCCAAACATCGACATGATGCCAAGTTCGAATTCAGAGTGACCATACACAGCCGATGGGTCATAAACAACTTCTTCACAACCACCTTGTCCTGCAATCTGTCCCTTGGAGTGATTTCCACTCCAAAGATCACCATGGATGACCACAGGTTTGATGTTTTTTACAACATCGTCGCCGATCAATCGCGGTACCACCTTTCCAGCAACTTGCTCTACAGCCTCTTCCAGTTCAGGGTCAGCGCCATTGTTGCGCACCGCTTGACGAGCGATGTGTCTTAGACGGTTATCAGCATAGAACTCAGCCCACGATGCTCGCCAGGAGTTGTCTTGTTCTGTGGAACCGCAACATGTCGGCACTGGGAATCCAAACATGGGCTTATCATGGCCTTCTGGGATAGGCGCGGACGTTGTGTGCATTTGCGCAACCTTTGATGCGAGAGTCTTTCCTGAACCACCAGGAGCCGAAGAACCCAGATCTAGAAAGTCAGTCGCCATGAAGTAATGGCCTGGACGATCGGATAAGGCGCCGTGAGCGTGAGATCGCGGACAAAAGTTGGGTACCGTGTCAGCTATGGCGTTCAAAGAGGCATGTTCACCTGAGTTGAATCGTGTTAGATTATCATCATGATACAGCAGCAGTAGCTTACCTCTAAACATGACCTCTGCTTCTTTCCCCACACCCGTCTTGACAAAATAGTTGACTGGGTTTCCATCCTTGGCGGCCTTTATCTTGAATGTGCCCGCAAAGCCTGATCCGCCATGAGAGTGAATAACAGCATTGGTGGGGTCAAGGCCAAGTGCCTCGATGATGGCGGGGTCAACTTTGGTATGCGGCATGATTACGTAGAATGCGATGAATATGAGAGAAGGATATTCAGAGACACAGAGAGAACAGAGTTTGCTAATGATGATTTCTTAGTTGACGTGGCTGAAAAGAGAGGATGGTCAGGATGTCATGAGACGGGGACGAGATGGGGTGACGTCAAAAACTGGGGGATGTTGAGTGTGCTAGTAATGCGAAGCTACAGTATCTATGCACGGTCAGATAGATTATTGCAACCCAAGGTACTGTAGAGGTCATAAGATGGATGCCAAGAGGAATATGAGAGAGAGGACATATGATGTTATGTTTTCATCACTTTGGATGTGAGGGATAATGTTAAGCTGGCGTGTCCAGATTGTATAGTTTTCGAGCATCGGACTAAAGGACCTACGAAAAAGACTTCCGTTTCATAATTTGATGGCCGAGACAAGATCAGTAGTTATAGAAGACTTGATATAGCTCTAATAGTATCACATTGGTTTGTCATGACAGCTCACGCTCTCCATGATCTGATGCTGAGACTGAATTAAACCCCCGGCCCGGAGTCGAGTGGGGCCGCACGGGACAGGAGTAAGTCCGTTATTTTCGGCGCCGGAGTCATGAAAATGTTTTATGTCGACTAGATCTCGGCGTGGTCGATGATGGGTACACTATGATACCGTCGTATTATAACTAGGAAATGATATGAATACGTTTGGACAAATCTTCACAGCCAGGCAGGTCATACGATACAATTAGACGTAATGGTAATGCGATCATGTACTTTAAGTGTGAGGGATCACGTCTAAAGCAATATGCAAGGCGTCAAGCAGCAGCTAGACAATAGCACATAACGACGAAAAGTATATGTAAAGCGATTTGAAAGAATAGAGAATGAACTTGGCTCGAAACGTAATAAAACCGTCAAGTTACAAGAGTCGGATGTCACCACTCCCCACTCATTCATGTATCTTATGGGTCTACAAATCAAATACAACACGAAAGAAGCCATCAAATTTGAAAAATTGAGCTTGAATTTAAACTGTCCAATACCGTCATGCAACTGAACTGATAAGGACCATGTCCATCCAGTTTTGATGATGGGTTTGTCTCCGCCTCGGAACCGAACCGAATCGACAAACTCTCCACTTCGGCCCCGTAAGATTTCAGCTGTGATGAGGATGCGTATCTCAAGTATAGATACTTGGCTATCTATCCTTGTTTATTTCCCGACAGACGCCAAACGTAAAGATGATGTGGGTATAGATTAAGGATGAAGAAAGGGCAAAAAGATAAGCATGAAACTCGCTATTCGTTCCGGTAGTAATTCGTCAAAGACCCAGGGTCAATCAATCAGTCATGATGACTAGTTGGTTGCGATCATTGCTTGGTGGGTGTCTCGATATATGATGAAGCAGCGACGGTTGTGGCGCTGCTGAGAGAAGCATTGTCCGAGTCAACTCTTGACAGTCCTGAAGGTCTTGTTGAAGACACAGAGAATGCGGCTGAGTTGTTGGAGTGGGAGCCTCCATTGAAGCAGGTTGTGCAGGGACATTGAGAGTTGTTGTTGAGAGGTGGTGGAGGAGCGCAATGGCGGGCAAACCAGCTCTTGACAGAAGAAGGCATGATGAGTTGTAGAAGTAGTTATAGTAGATATATAGATGAGACTGAGTGAGTGTCTTGATCGACTTGTTTTCGGGTAATAACAGAGAACTGAGAACTGAACTGCAATAATGACAGACCAAAAGAAATAAAACAAAGGAGCGGTCTCTTGAGTATTTATGCCCTTGGACATTCCGACTTGATCCTAACATTTCGCAATAAACATGTGGATCTGAAAAGAAGAAGAAGCCATCCAAGACTCTCATCCCTGCAACCATGACCCCCTGTCCCACTTCCCGCAGCCTTCTCTGCTCGACACCGAGAGACGTCCGGAAAAGAAGTGGGTTCGGAAATCTGCGCTGTACATGGCGATGCCTTCACTTTTTACCGCTTGCTCCAACTCGTTTTATGCGTCTTCTTCTCTGTCTCTCTCGTCCTTCCTTTTCCCCAGAGCCAAGACTTTCGGGGTCAATAATGGCGCACTCTAATGAGGATAAGGTAGTCTAGTCCTTCCCCTCACTGAGGAAAAAAAAACCCATTTCCCCGCGTTTTCTGTGAGAAGAGGAAGGGGTTTCTACCAATGGCTTGGAAGGGGGATATGCAAGGGGACACGTGAATAAAGAGTGGTCTTATTAAAGTCATTTGAGTTGGGAAAGGATTGGCTTGAGTTGAGCAGCTTATTCTTGTTATGGCTGCGTGTTAGTGATGATGGGAGCACATGCGAGAAACAGACGATTAAATCCCTACATTGATAAGTGATATATGCAGTAGTACTGAATTGCTTTCTATCATAACACCATTGCGGTCTATCACAATCATGGCTTGCCTATTGGGTATAGTGATGATATTAAATATTCGTAGTCTTTAGTCATCGTCAACTTGCAACTCATGACACAATCACGCCGAAAAAATAAGGCAAGGAATCATTGAATACAAATCTCTTAATCAACTCCCGTTTATCTCATTATCATTCACGATCTCAACTCCCTGGTTACTGCTGTATGCAACAATCATGAGACTCACGTCTATCTACAAATGCCCATCTCAGATACAGCTCACCATCGATCGGTCTTCCGTCGGCATTCGCAACTCCTTCTAACCCTTGTCTCCCTCTACTTCTATAACCTGCATGCGGCTCTTCCGCAGTGGATCTTGGAAATGGGACACACGTCGACGCAATTCCCGACCCAAACATCGGAATGACAACCTATTGGCTCGCCACTGTGCGGCTCAACTCATTAAAAGGTACAAGTACAGGTACAGGTACATGTAAAAATTCTCTCTTTTTCCTTTGTATCCGTCATATTGATGGGTCATGACCGTCTGGGAGCAATAACCGAGGATAAAAGTGAGATTGTGAGATGATAAAGCAGGCTGTTGTCTGATAGTTTGTTCATGATTATATCATACATATTATTGTGGACGCTATTGAGTAAAAAGTGAATTGTAACAGTTGTAAAAGGGGGTCAGACTTTGAGATTCTAGGCCGATGATGCATACAAGAGATCGCCAAGCCTTGCTCTCGATGTGTGCCTGTCAACTTCATTTATTTCTACCATACCTAGTCTAAGTTTACCTCTTCACTAAAAACTTATTCTTTCCCATAGAATTCGGATTGCACCAGCACCTGTAGCTTCTGATCAAACACCATACGCAGTAGTTGGCAAATCAACGCATGATACCCGCTCAAGGCTGGTCAACGGTTTTGAGACGATGCATGAAATGGGACCCTTACATCCGAGATGTTGATTAGCCGAGTCTGGACCGAAGAATCGAATCGTGTTTATAGAAGCCATTTATCAGCCCATTATATGACTCAATACTGATCCTGGAACATGATTAATAAAGGGGGTTTTCTTCTTTTTACAACCTCGACTCTTCTGCTACATTTGAACCTGTATGATCATCACTCATCATACTACCTGGATTGGCTCGTCTCAGTGAAGTCACTGAATAACAGTCAAGCTTATGCTCTGCAAGCTGAATCACGCCGTACGACATGTTTTCTTCTTGCTCTATGTTCAACCCAACGATTTCTGACAGATCCCAAATCTACACTTCGATGGACTAGGAACGTTCACACACAGCACAGAATCAGCAGGAAACAAGCGCAAAGTTGCAGGGCGTGGATACGCGAAAAAATCATCTTGTTGGAGACCATATCGCCCGTTCATCCTTTGAACCATCCGTCCTTTCTATCGAACCATTCGGACATATTCGAGTGCATCTGGAAATCATACGCCTCAAGAGCCATGGGCTCCTAGACCGACCGATGCATGCTAAATTAAAAACAGGAATATCCACCCACATCTCCCACTCTTTCGTGAGTGTTTGATTCCCACTCCCGGTTTTGTTTGGAACCGTAGCCTCTCTAGAGCTCAGTCTCACGTGTTTGTTTATTATATCATATCCTCACCCATGCTCGTTTGGCAATGGGGGATCGTAGTTATGTTTGCTTAGATTCCGAGGGTGAACTCGACACCGACATCGATGTCACGGGCTACAGATATGTTAGCGATCAGAATTGACAGAGAACAGTGTTTCAATGCGACTTACCCATCTTGACAACCTTGGAGAGCTGGACAGACTTCTCAGCAGCGGTTTGTAGGTCATCAATGGAGAAGATCTTAAGACCAGAGTCGTTGATGAGCTGGTGAGCCTTCTCAACGTTGGTACCCTGGAGACGGGCAATGATGGGGATCTTGAGGTTCAAGCTCTCGACGGTCTTGATAAGACCAGTGGCGATGGCGTCACATCGGACGATACCACCAAAGATGTTGACAAAGATGGCAGTGACCTTGGCGTCGCTGGTGATGAGCTCGAAAGCCTCCTTGATGGCAGCAGGGGTGGCGCCACCACCAACGTCGAGGAAGTTGGCGGGCTGACCACCGTTCAGCTTGATGATGTCCATGGTGGCCATGGCAAGACCGGCACCATTGACGAGGCAGCCGATATCACCGTCAAGCTTGATGAAGTTGAGGTTGGACTCGGCGGCGCGGACCTCATCGGGGTCCTCCTGGGTGGTGTCGCGCCACTCAAAGACCTCCTTCTGTCGGAAGTCGGCGTTGTCGTCGAAGCCGAACTTGGCATCCATGCAGAGAACCTGGTGGTCAGAGGTCTCAGACAGGGGGTTGATCTCAATCTGGGTAGAGTCCTTCTCGCGGAAGATCTTGTAGAGCTTCTGGATGGTGTCCTTGGCGTCCTCGATGCACTGCTCGCTGAAGCCGAGCTTGGTGGCGATCTCGCGGGCAGTCTCGTCAGTGACACCGACGTTGATGTCGATGTAGTTGGTGTTGATGGCGTCAGGGGTGTCTTTGGCAACGGCCTCAATGTCCATACCACCCTGGGAAGAAGAGACAATGACGGGGCACTGGTTCTGACGGTCCATGAGGATGGCGAGGTAGAACTCACGACGAGCAAACTTGCGCTCGCAGATGTAGACAGAGTTGCAGAGACGGCCGCCAGCACCCGTCTGCTTGGTAACAAGCTTGTGGCCGATCATCTGCTCGGCGAACATCTCAGCCTCGTGAGGAGAGTAGATGACACGGACACCACCCTTGAGACCGTTGTCGAAGGTACCCTTTCCTCGGCCACCGGCAAGGACCTGAGCCTTGATAACCATATCATCGTTGCCAATCTTCTCGGCGATCTCCTTAGCCTCCTTGGCGGACTTTGCGACGGAACCCTGGGGGACACCGATACCGTACTATTGAAGTGAATCGTGGTTAGCAACTTGGTGATGAGAATCGTGATAACACCAGTCCCATTGTTTTTTGGTTTTTTTTTTGGTTTCGTTCGCAATATCGATTGATGATCGCTAAAAGGGGGGTTTGAGTAGATAAAACCTTACCTGTCGGAGGAGGTCGGCAGAGAGGTACTCGTGAATGCTGAGAGCTCGTCGTTGTTGAACGCCAGGGAATCGAGCAGCAGGGGCAGCGAACTATAGAAACAAACAACGTTAGCAACGGTTTTGTTGTGGATTGAACCTACCAAGCAAACCAAGCTTGATTTGATTGATAGCGAATAGATAAAAAAGTACCTTTGAGGCGTTGAGGGCCGAAGCCACAGCGCGACTACGGCCGAGCTTGAACATTGTGATTGTGAGGAGGGGGGAAGGAAAAGAAGAATATGAGGGGATTCAAAGATCGAGAGTATGGGGGAAGGAGGGAGGGGAGAGAGTATAAACTTGTATCGTTCGTCACAGGAGGTAGAAAAAGAGGTTTTCGGATGACGAGAAGCTAAGGTACGCTACCGTATCAAATCAGCCAAACTGACCACAGTTGACCAGGGCCTATCCCGTCTGTTCTGTGGTTGTTGAGGTCCACTATTTTGTTTTTGGCCACGGGATTTGTCGGGCTAATTTTGGTAGAGGTTTTAGTATCACGGAAAAAGACATTGACCGAATGAACTGGATCATGACGAACTGTAGCAGTAAAGCCTTTTTTACCCGCTAGATAGTAAATAAAGTAAATAATTAATTTACTTTATTCTTGCTTATTAGACGTTTACTCGGTAGCTACCCGTCTACAAATGTAAATACCCATAAGCGCGCATGACTGAAATCCATACAAAACACTCACCACCTCCTTCTGTTCCCGCGACCTCATCAGTCACATTGCAACATCCTTCCCGCGGTCGACATGATCCAGCTTGCCTTGTCTCGTCTCAGGGCTTTACAGATCCACTGTTTGACTAACGGCCAAACCTATTCGAGCCACTACAACCCCGGCACAAGACCACCGAGCATCGTAAACCGGTGATGCAAATCCGCGTCGGAAGTGGTTTTGAACTTTCAAGGTGAAGTAACGAATGGGAGCCGTTTCTGTCACTTCATGCTGGTGCTCCATCGTCTCCGGGTTTCGGCTACAACAGGCATCTTCAACTCCCAAGGTGCTGAATCGTTGACCGAGTATTCCACTCCACATCCTTTCATGGAGATGGACATCCAGTGATGCAATGATAGGCAATACGGACTTTGTTTCATTACTGTCTGTCTATGCAATTCAATTCCAACTTGATATTTA